AATAGAAGCAGCGAGTGTACGTGACGGAGGAGGGGAGGGGGGGGGGGGGGGAAAGGAGGAGACCACAGAATCTTAACCCCTATAATTATTTTTTGTTTTTAGACAGATGAATGCAAATATACACTCCTACCTCAGGATGGGCACAACATGGTCTAATACAGTGATTCTCAACGAGGGTGCTACAAGATCCTTTTAAAACAGGGGTCAGCAACCCCCTGCACACGTGCCGAGCATGGCACACAAGGCCATTTTGCTCGACACACCACCAGCTGCTGCCAGACACAGAACCCGGGCTGCTCCCAGCAGGCGGCCAGGAGGCTGCAAGCCCTGCTGCAAGTAGACTGGGCTCTGTGGGCCGGCTGCAGCCAGGAGGCTGCAAACAGCTGCTTCGGGCTCCGGCATGTCGGTACTCCAGCACCTTCCAAGGTAGACATCGTGGGTTTTTTGGCACTCTGTCCAAAAAATGTTGCCTACCCATTTTAAAAGATGCCACAGGGTGCCACGGAACTTTAGGACAGGCAGTTCTCAACTTACAACGTTTCGAGTTACAATGTTTCACACTTGTAACGTTTATAAATTGACACCGTTTCAACTTTACAGCGCCAGTTTCAACTTACAACGCTTGATCCAATGCAATGCCATGCCAACGAACAAGTTTGCTGCATCGCTCATCTCCCTGGAGAACATCTGTTCAAACTTCCTTGGACACTTTCTTTAAGCAAGCAGACAAGACTCTAGAAAAACCTGCAGCCAAGACTCCTGAGAAGACTCCAGCCAAGACCCCTTCAAAAAGTCCAACCAAGAGCCCTTCAAAAAGTCCAGCAAAGTCACCTCAAAGAAGCCCTTCCAAATCAATAGGATTGCTATTTTCAATATAAATATATTAATGTAGCTATATTACTCATCTATAATTGATCGGCTACAAAATTCTGGGGTATTTTTGGTGAAAATAGGGTATTGGGCCTTGGGTCAGGAACCAATACCCCATTTATAACATTGTTTCTTATGAGAAAATTGGTTCCGAGTTACGTTTTGACTTAAGACGTGGTTTTCAGGAACCAACTGTGTCGTAAGTTCGAGGACTGTCTGTACTGTTAAGTGTACAACACCTACACATGATTCATAAGATAAACCCAGAGATTTCAAATAGGAAGTCATATAGTGTCAAAAATATTCTAACCTGTTATGAACTTGCTGAGTTCTCTGCAACTAAAAAATGAGTGATTCTTCTAAGATAGAAAAATAATGAAGTGAAAGATAAATATATATGTATATTTGGCTACCAGTGCCTCAATCACTATAATAAAATAAATTCTAAATACCTATACATTTTGTTATTTGATTTTGGGTTTATCATGGAAAAATCCCCCTGACCCCTTAGCTCACAGAATGCAGGTCCAGGCGTCTCTAGATATGGCTCTTCGCTGATCAGAATTTGCTAGTTACACTACATCCAGAGCTGAAGCATACATACAGGTCAGAAACAAACTGTGAAGTCATCAGGAGCTGAGGGGGCTGCAAACAAGAGGCATTTCAGTATTAATATCCATGGTGCCTTGCACCCAGGGAGAGGAAAGAAACAGCATGAACATAGCAGCTAGGATCATCCCACAGCTTTATAGGCACTGTATTAATACAAGTCATTCTTCAACTTGTCTTCTCAAGAGTTCAGTCAGTGACACTATCACACTGTAAATAGGTGCCTACACTGCCAACACCACAGACTTTTAAAAAGGAGAGTAAAATCCACGCTACTTGCAGCTTTATCCCTTATACTGTTTGCACTCTCAGCTTGTACAGCAAAAATCATTAATGTTAGCTCTACTTCAGAATATCAATCTGGATTTCAAGCATGGCAGAAGAATGCCTGCCCATTATAGACCTAACTGTTTTCATTGTTCTTTCAAGTATACCAGGGCAGTTTCATTGCTACACTGCTGCAGGTGCCAGCACAGACTGGAAGAGAATGTTTCACTTCCCCTACTCATGGGCTAGCACAGAACCTGGTGTAGGCTCACGTCTGTCCCCTGCAGTGATCCACTAAGTTGCATCCCTGTTGTCAAAGCCTCCACAGACACCGACCCACAGCTCCCTGTCCTTGCTGGTGCCCCTCACTCCTGACTCTGTTTTACAGAGAATATCTACTTTTCCTGAGCTATACTCCACCTCTCATCTCCTTGTGGATATCTGCACCCCACTGCCACTTCATTCCCAGAACATCCTGGACCACCACAAGCCAGGATCTACTATGGAGGTGCTACAGAACCTGCCTGAGGTCTGGTACGGAAGTCTCTTGTAGGGGGAGTACTGATGAAGGGGGACTAACATCTATCATTCCTTTTAGTATGAGAACAATTCACACCACAGGTAATTGGTCTCCAACAGGAAATCAGGCCTACAGAGGAACACACTCCTCTCTGTCTCCAGATTTTCTCTTTTATTGTAAAAACAAATTATATTTTGACTCAAACTCAAGAGGACAGTGCCTCTTCAATATACGAACAGTGGCTTATTTTGTCCACAAGAGGATCAGTTGGGACAAAGACAAAGAGACAATCATAGCAAGTTTGAGAAAGCCGGGGTTAAACTAAGCAGTTTGGGCAATATTCATTATTCACGTGAAGAAGTGACAAAAAGTAGAGACAGAACAGGAATGTCTAAGCAGGGAGTTATCCTGATGTAACACTAACACCAGTTTAAATTCACAGCTTGTCTACATGGGTGTGTAGACTAGTATAAATGAAGCCCTAAGAAAGCACAGCTATATACTGATGGGAAAGGAACTCATATAGAAGAGTGCTGCATGAAAAAAAATTACGTTTGTGGTAGAAAGTCAAACTGAGTATGTTGTACTGCAACAAAACTAATCACAATGCCTCCTATGTTTGCAACTTTGTTATTTGTGACTTTAACCCATTGCAGCTTGTCACTAGGATGCAGAATATCCCCATCTAGTGGGCTCTGAATAGAAGTAAGGACCATGAACTTGGAACCTAACCTCAGTCAATTCTTTTCTCACAATAGTTTTAAGTATAAGTGAAAGGAAAAGATAATCAGGTTGGATTTGCCTTGAGTTCAGGTAGTCTGATTTTTAAGTTTAGTTACACAGGTGTAACCTCTTTCATGGTGACCATGAGGCCTTTGGGTCCAAGCCAACTCCTCTGTCAACTGCAAAGTTATTATCAGTATCAGTAGGAAAGAACAAAGCACTTCATTTTCTTCTTCAGTTTGCCAGTCACTTGTATTAGAAATATGTTCTTGCTTTCCTTGCTTTTTGGTTGTTCATCCTTCCTTGGGTGTTCAAGGTTTGCTGCATCTTTTCTTAAAATTAGGTTGTAAGCTTTTCAGGAAAGGACCCATCCCCTCATGGGTTTGTTCACTTAGGACAGGCCCTCTCCTTCCCTTAAGGCCTTTATATAGGGCTAAAAGTACAGATAAATAAATAAATGACAATAGAGAAACTAAGAGTCACATAAGGTCAGCCTCGTGGCAGCAAACTGTACTGTCAGGCAGCCAACTTGGATTTGATCTTAGTCATAGTTCTAGGCCTGGAGTAAGTTCAAAAAAGGGAAAAGGGCCTTATTTACCCTAAAAAAACCCAACCTCACATATCCTTTCTGTGCAAGATCACACTACATTATGAAGTGCTGCAATAGATCAGTGGTTTTCAACCTTTTTTGGACCAGGACCCATTAGTAAACATCAATGGCCAGTCCTGACCCAGTAAATAGTTTAAGTAGAAAATACACAAGTATTTTGGCCCCAAAAGACTTCTTACACACTAAGTTAAAGCAGCTCAACAGTCCTATTTTTAAAGACAGAAATCAACATCGACAGGAAAACATTAACAGTAATATCAGCATCTGACCCTCCATTACTCCCAAGTGCACAATGCACATTGCTGGTGCCCCTCACTCCTGACTTGCAGACCCCTGGCCCTGCCAGTGTCCCTCACTCTCAACTTGCAGCACCCTGGACCTGCCAGAGTCCCTCATTTCTGACCCACAGCTCCCTGGCCCTGCCAGTGCCCCTTATTCCCAAGCCACACACCCCTCTCCCTCCCCAGCCCTGCTGGTGCTCCTAACTACTGACCCACAACTCCCTGTCCTTGCTGGTGCCCCTCACTCCTGACCCACAGTCCCCTGCTGCGGCCCGCCCCCCCTGCCAGAGGGGGCCTCCGGCTGCCCCAATCCAGTCCAGGCCAGAGCATAGCAGCTGTGGCAGCTCTGGCTCATGCAGGCAATGAGCAAGTCTAGCCCAGTGGAGCAAGTCTAACCCCAGTGCAGGCTGTGGGGATGAGGAGGGGAGGCCTGTGGTATCCTCAGCCCTGGACTGGGGCTCCTGCCACCATGCCAGGCCACCTGGCCATAGCCTGCCCCTGGGCAGCATCTGCCAGCCTCCTCACCCCTGCAAGCATGGGCACCAGCCCCAGTACCACTGGCCTGGCCACACAGCTCCCATGTACCCCTGAAGGGCCCCACCACCCCCTTGCCCCGTTGGAGGGGGCAGGTGCCTCCCCTCACCCCTCCTGCCCTGCCACAACCCCAGCACCTAGACACTTTCTTCCAGTGCCAGCAGGCACCTTCCCCCCAAATTCCCCTCCATACATCCCTGCCCCACACACCCCAGCCTCCAAGCCCTGGCCTTCCAAGCCCTGCTCCCCATAGACTTACCTGCATCCAGCTGCTGGATCTGCTCCCACCACCCTGCCTGGTTGCATGCCTGCCATGTGCATACACAGGCACACATGGTGTCTCCTGCCTCCAATTGCCCCAAGCAGCTACTTGCAGGCTGGAAGGTTGCCAGCCTGCAAGGAGAAACCGTGCTTTCCTAAGTTTTTATGTGAGTGTTAGCAACCCTTTCAAATATTCTTGTGACCCACTTTTGGACTGACCCACAGGTTGAGAAACACTGCAATAGATGTATCTGTGCTCTCACTAGAAGAAAATGAAAAAAAATCCTTCTTAGAAAGATACGGCACCAAGTTCATACACGTGTGCATGTATATAAGCACACAGCAGCTTGCATTTAAAGAATCTTCTCCCCTTGGCAATGTAAAGGTTTTCCTCTACTGTAGCATCTAATCATATATTACCTACATAAGAAAAATGGATTCCAGTAGCAATTGCACTGTGCACACCCACAGCCACACCACAAGATATAAATAACCTACCACTAACAGACACAAGTGTTACTTGGAATCTCTCTGTGGCAGAATACTAAAGTGCTCTGAAACCCCAATATCTGAGAACCTGCTCTGGCTAACGAGAGCTATGCCCAGAGGTAAATGTCACAGGAGTAGAGTCTTTGTTTCTAGGGTAAACCAAATCCTGACTATGTTCCTAAGTGCTCTGAGAGGAAGCTGGAAGTTTGCTGATTGATAGTGATGCTATTTGTGCCACTATATTCAAGGCTATGCCAGAATTCCCATTAGTAGCTCCTCCTTTTAAAGACCAGTCTCTCACTCTTGAAATGTGCCCACCAGAGTTTTAGCGAGGTAGTAGGGCCCAGAGACAGATACTGGATTTAGAGTCCAGGGACCTGCCTTCTAATCCAGCTGTGCGATTGACCTACTGTGTGATTTTGGGCAGGTTACTTATATATATTTTCCCCCCCTTCTACCTTTTGTTTCACCCCCTGAAAGAGGGAAATGAGACTGGGCAGGGACTCTCTCTCAGGATATGTATGCCTTAGCTGGACCTCCATGTGCTACTGTTGAACAATAAGAGTATCTAGTTTTGTTATGCCTCTTCCTTAGGATGGACTTTTCTTTTTCTTTTTAAGGACAGTTGCATAGAAAGGAAAGCAAGAAGAACAGTAATATTTTAGATTTGCAATATGCCTTTTCAATCTGCAGGATCTCAGAACTTCCATTGTTACAAAGGCGGTTATCTACTGCTGACAGATATCCCCCCCCCACCCCCCGACCCCTTACAGATGACTGCTACCAACTGATGTGTACCACACTGCACAAGTGATAACTGAAAAATGGAAATGCACAAAGAGACAAGAAAGCCTGGGTGTTTACACTCTCATCCAAGATACAATGGACCTGATTTTCTGCTGCTCTAAACCTTATGCAGATGTTTACATCGGTACAATGCATGTGCAAACCCATGTGCACACTACAATGAAAGTTAGTATGTCACACTCTGTTTACGCTAGGTTAAGGGAGCAAGTGAGGTTTGGAGCAAGAGCATCAGGCTCAGGTGGCTCTAGTTAGACACAGAGCAGATGTCACCGCCACCTACTGCTAGTGTGTCAGGCCTCATGCGTGGATTACAACCAATTGTGGTGTGACAAAAGTCAAGTCTACCCCTTATTCTTACAACTGTGTTGGATGGGAACTCTCCCGAAATCAATGCAGATGGACTACCTGTAACCATGGGTAATAAACAGAATAATATACAGCCCTTAGTGCAGATCAGGCCCTGTCTGGCAAGCCTCCAAGATATTAGAGCAGTTCTCAACCTTTTCAGACTTGAGCCACCTCTTGACAGACTCAAGGCACCCTTCATTAGACTTGAGGCAGCCTTCAATAGATTCAAAGCACCCCTTGAAAAGAGTGAAAACTAAGAGCTGGCACTTTTTGATGACAGAAAAACAACAGAGCTGTTCTTCTGTTGCAAAGCCCACAGCAGGGCAGAAGGAGTTTGACATTATGGACACAGTGCTCAGCAGCTGTCAAAGAGGTAAACAAAAAGTTAAGGATAATTAAAGGAATTGTAAACCCAACAGAAAGTATCATCATGCCCCTTTATAAATCCATGGTGCATCCACACCTTGAATACTGTACCCAGCTTTGGTCCCTACACCTTAAAAAGGGATAGAGAAGAACTAGAGAAGGTGCAGAAGGGCAACAAGGATGATCAGCGGTAGGGAAGGGCTGCCCTACGAGGAGAGAACGAAGCACCTAGACCTGTTCAGTTTAGAAAAAGAGATGTTTGTGGGGCGGGGTGTGATAAGAGTTTACACAATACTAGACGGTGAAGAGAAATCAGATGGGGATTTATGATTTACTCTCTCACACAAACCAAGAACTAGGGGTTGCCAAATGAAACTAGCAGGTAGCATGTTTAAAGCTAACCAAAGGAGCTTCTTTTTCACACTTTTACACCAGGTGTCATTAAAGGCTGGAACCTGGTTGCCACCAGATGTGGTGGAAGCCAAGAGTTTAACCAACTGCCCAGAGGGACTGCACAAAGCCTTGGAGCAAAGGGGCATCAATAGCTCTGGAGCAGGGGAGTGCAGGGCACAGCCTCCACTCCGAACTTCCCAGACCATAAATCAGCGTTTCCCAACCAGTGCCACGGCACAAGAGTGCGCAGTCAGAAATGAACAGGTGTGCCGTGGAATTTTACCACTGGAATGAGCTACTGTAGGTATGAGGAGGGGGGATGCCTTAACCCGCGTGCAGCGGAAAAACAGTGTTAATGTACATGTACCTCGGGCTGGAAAAGGTTGGGAAACACTGCCCGAAATACTGGAGGCTGCAAGGGGGAGAGGAAGGGGAGGGGGGAGCCCTGGTCAGACCCAGTTCTCTCTGCCCCGCAGCATCCAGCCGAGAGCAGCTCTTCTGACTCCTGTTTGAAATCGTGGGGGTGAGCCTGCAACTGCTGGGGGCGACCTAGCAGTGCGGCGTGCGCGGGGCTCCCGCCGCCCGGCCCGGCCCGGCCCGGCCCCGCTCACCTCGCTGCCAAAAACTTTCCTGTTCCCCCCCACCACCTCCGGCCTGCCCCGGGGCTCGCGCGCACACACGCACACGTGCACCCCAGGCACAGCGCGCACACACGTGTCCGTGCACACGCGTGCCTGCCATGCGCACACCAATGCCCGCGCACATGCGCACACGCGGCGGCCCGCGCCCACCTTCCACCGTCTCCTCCAGCATCTCCTCATCGCTGTCCATG